CATTACAAAAAAATACAAAGAGAGAAAGCAAGAGCATGATCTTAATATGGAAACCAAAATGCCTAAATGCATGAAAAATCCCTCCTTTTATAGGCCAAAATTTAAAACTATTGATTTGATAACTAATTATTGAGTGGGTGGCTACATATTGACTTGGTGACAATCCTTATCTTCTTGTCTGAATAAAACATCATTGATAACATTAGAATTTGAACCAAATTTCCACATAAAAGTTCTAGAAAATTATCATAGCTTTCCAGGAAAAAACACAGTGAGGTCATTTGGACTTCTAGAACTCGAGATATGGGATGAATACTGAATTGTATCTAGGTTGCAGGACAAATTTAGACTTCTATGTTGTTGCTAAGATTTGGACTTTCAAACAGCAGAATTGAGTCTTGACTTCTTATAAAAGTTTTAGGCCTATATCTTAGCTTTCCATCCATATAAAATAAATCTAAAACTGAGATTTATAACTTTAGATATAACCCAATTATCGAACAATGTTCCAGTTTGGACTACACCAACATCTCTTTTTAAAATTTGACTCTCTATTTGTCCTTTCAATTTTAATACTTCAACTCATCAATTAATCCTTTTATTTATATGATAAGAATGCATTTATGATGAACATTTACCATAAATTAAAGGTACCTTATGGTTTCAAACTTGTTATTATAAAAACATATTTTAATTAGAGAGTTACTGATATTTCAAGTGCAAAATAATGATATAAAATCTTGATAAAAATGTACTTTTAAGTACTAAAGACACGACTAAAAGATTGATGTCTTCTCCCAAGTGCAAGAGTGGGAGGTTCCAATCAGATTATATATTGTTAACATGATTACATTAGTCATCTTATTCAATTAATGCTAATACTTGTAAATCTCGTCAAGCATTCATGATTATAACTTATGTTAACAATAAATCAAGTTCCTTTCATAGCTCAGGTGTCGGTTATACCATACATTATGGGCTATGAAAGTGCCAAGCATTTGTTGTACCAAGTGTTATACAACATAAATCAAGATTAGTTATTTAACAAGCAAAGTATTAAAGAGTGAACAAGATAACAAATATAAAACATGTTAGTATCAAACATTAAAGTCCATATTAAGTTTACATTATACTTATTCTTACACCATTAGTGTAACCTTTTCACCTTGACATAATTAACTTAGCTAGACATAATGAAAGAAAGCAAAATAGATAAACAAAATAAGAACATAAAAGTTAACTAAGTAAAGGAAAGGAAATGAAAGGCATAAACTTAATATTAATGAAAACAAAGCATAAAAAATACAAAGAGAGAAAGGAAGAGCATGATCTTGATCTGAACACCAAGATGCCTAAATGCATGGCAAATGCCTCCTTTTATAGGCCAAAAATGGGAACTATTGATTTGATGACTAATTGATAAGTGGGTGGCCAACTTTTGACTTGGTGACAATCTTTATCTTCTCTTGTCTGCCCAAAACGTCATTGATAACGTCAAAACTGGAGCCAGTTGCAAACATGAAAGTTGTAGGCAATTGTCTCAGCTTTCTTGTGTAAAAACTTCAGCTCATTTGGACTTCTAGAACTCCAGATATGGCCAAAATACCGAACAGTGCTCGGGCTGGAAGACAGATTCGGGCTTCTTTGTTGTTGCTACAATTTGGACTTGATAATGGCCTTTTTAGATCTTGGGCTCCATATGAAAGTTGTAGGCCTATGTCTTACCTTTCCATCCATATAAATTGGACCTAAATCTGAGATATATAGCTCCAGATATGACCCATTTACCGAACAGTGTTCCGGTTTGGATTGCACCGACATCTCTTTTCTAAGTTTGGCCATCTCTTTATCCTTGCAATTTAAGTTCTTCAAGTCATCAATCAATCCTTTTATTTATGTGATAGGCCTCAATTTAAAATGAACATTTACCTTAAATTAA